AGCACAGAATTAGGCTTTGCCGAGCATGCGATATTTCTTTCTCGCATGTCTCTCCGCGACGCCATTTCCATCCACCTTCGTCCCCCATGTCCCCTGATTTGTATTGATTTCGCTACGAGTTCGCACACCTTTGCGATGGAAGCCATTCTTCTTTGCGGGCCTATGACTGCCAGCAGAACTAACGTTTCCTCCGTTGTACAGTAGATGTCGGGAGTGGTCAAGTCGGGCTCGTACGTCGTTGCAAAATGACGCAGGAGTCGCTCCCATCGACGTCTCTCAAATTTCAGCGATATTTCCTGGTTTCAGCTCGTCTCCCGAAATCACTGTACGCAATTGAAGTGCCTAACGATTCGGTAATTATTTTTTCAGTGAAAAGATCTCTCTCATTTGTGCAGATTTCTTTCTACTATGTGTCTACATGCTTTCCCATGGGCAGTTCAGTTCGGCTCTAGTTTCAGTTCAGACCTTGGTCTGACTGAAGTTTCACCGTTCTCTGCTCGAGTTCTATCACGAACAAGCCCCAACTAGAACCCATAATCATATGTATAAGATCCTTGTAGCCATGAGAAAGAAGGCGCCTGTCATGCCCTCGTGCAAATACGATGTGAAAAGTGAGGGAAAGAGATGGCTCCGAACCCCCCGCCGGAGCCGAGTGAGGTTGCTTCCCAACAGATTTTCCTGGCTTGAGGCAGTTTTTTTTTTCAGCTCCTTGTCTCCTGCGGATTGCTGGCTATCGCACTCGAATTCCGAATATTGCCGCCGGTACTTCGTCATTTCGTCTCCATGCATCTTTCCTGTCTATTAGGGTCGTCCGGCGTCCAGGCTCCTAGAACGAGCCTTGTCGCGAATTGTCTGTGACTAACCCGACCATCACGTCATGTTCCTGCGTGATTCTATCACGTCCCGTTCCTATTGTCTATTGTCCTCTTGTGGCTAAACTCCGAATGTTGTGGTTCCTGCCATCTGAAGAGGCACTCTATCTGAAGATGCTTCTCACAAGCAATTTGGGGCCTGCCCACCATCATATCTTCTATTGCTGGCTACCACGTCCTGTTCTCCCGGTCTATCGTCTCCTGACTCCTCTCCCTGCCAGCTATTTTGATCATTCTCGGTTCCTGGCCCGAGAAGGATCTTCTCACAAGTAATCTGTTTTTGACCCCTGGCAAGGCAGGGTATGTTTCTAACAAGCAATCCACGTTGCTCTAGGCTATCATCTCTTTACCTACCTATCACTGTCTTGGTTTCATCTCCAACGCCTCTCTTTCCTGGCTATTTTGGCTATCATCCTCTATCTCGTTCCTTTTCCCTTTTTAACTTTTTTCGGACAAGGTACATATACTGTACCGCTGAAATCCCTATAGTTTTGGCACGGTCTTTTTTAAACAAATTTTCGTATTAATCCTTTGTATTAATCCCTAGGAACTAATAAGAGGTCGCTTGTGAGTGAATGAAAGTCATGTGATGTCAACACTGACAATCATAATAGTTTTCTTTTAGTTTATCAACTACAAAATGTTCAAAGTGCTTCATGGGCACACATGTGTGAACATTCTAAAAAATTGTCAACAGCTGCATCAATTTATGCTCTTCAATTTGGTTTTTTATTTTATTATGCTTGCTAAAAATACAACGAAAGCATTTATTTTGTTTTTTACTTAATGCCTTGGATTAAAGGGCACATTTGAATTCCGGCTGTCAGGGGAGCCAAGTATTTAAAAAGTCCGTACGATAAAGATTAATTCTCTTTTTTTCAATAAATAATGAATATATATCTTTTAAATACTGTGATAGGGGCCTTTTTGTTGATGCTGACAATTTGCGTGAGTCAAAGAAGGCATTTTTCAGGGTGACATGCTCCAGATCTGTTTAGTTTAAACTAACCTGATCTCATAATCGAATCGGTTCGACAGAGATAATCTTATTCCCATACATATCCATTACGTAGCCGGATCAGTTTAAAGTTAAACGGATCTGGTGCACGTCACCTTTAGGCCGAGTTCATACTCGTGCTGTACGTTATGTACAGCAGCGGCAAAATCCAATCCAACACGGGCATGTTGCATTGGACAGGATGCAATTGCAGCATCCAGCATGCTGTACAGCACTAGTATGAACTCGGCCTGACTCGGGAGGGTGTCTGGAGACGATGAGCCGGAGAGACGGTCATGGGCAGGAATTCGGCGCATTAGCCACAAATAAGCAGGACGTGGTAATCAGTCGTAGACGGGAACCAGGACGTTAGTCATGGATGACTTGTGAGCAGGCATCCCATTCGGAACCAAAATAACGACGAGAGTGGCGCTGGAGACGATGAGCCAGAATAGGTAGCAAGAGACAGAAGGGTGCAATAAGATCGTGAGTCAACAGACGAAGTTGGAGATGAGTAGACGAAGGACGTGGAGGACGGGCTTCGGAGGGAAAAATTCCATACGATGCAAACGCGAACGTCATCTTCCCAAATGAGTTCGCTAGAACTGGAACAGCAGGAGAGTCATGCATCCTTCTGGAATAAAGAGAGGGAGTAAAACGTATCTTTTGTCCCACAAACAGGTAAGCTGGGGGGAGGGGAAGGAAGGGGGAGAGAGGCATTTGGCAAGGACTTCTACAGGGAGTTTGGAAAGTCACTCCTTATTTTAAAATTGTAAGAAGTTTTGTACTTTTTGGACTAGAACAATGAGTTTTGTGCCAGCAGTAACCCTCCATGGTGCCAAAATGGAATCTTTGACCCCGTGCGCAAATAGCTGCATGACGGAGGACCTCCACAGCTCATATCATGGTCCAGAAGTGGTGGTGAAAAGAGAATCCATTTGATTCAATTTTTCACCTCCTCTGCCTCCACACCTCATACTGTGCAGTTTCTTGCGCATGGTGTCGAAGATTCAAATTTTACATCACGGAGGGTTACTGCAGCAAGCTAATCAATAAAAACACCATCGAATCCTGTTTCTTTTGGCGTAAAAATCATTCTTCATGTTCAAAAAGTACGAAAGTTAATGCAATTTTATATAGGGAAGGACCTTCCAAATACCCTGTAAGTTAGGCTGGTCAGGACGTGGTGGTATGTCGTCATACCGAAATTGAATCGCAGGATCGAAAATAAAGTCAAAGAAACTATTTTAGCGTTGTATAGTGTTCGAGCTCGGATTTGTCTCGACTGTCTTCGCCTTCCCCTCTCCCCCCCCCCCCCCTTCCTTCCCCCCTATTCTATTCGAACCATTTCCTTAGATGAAGAGAGGGGATCGGCTTCCCGGAATACCACTGTGCCGGCTCATCGGCACCGCAATTCTAATAATTCCGAATACCGCCCAGCCCATCAAAGATTCATTTATAAATTTATTTTCGCAATCGGCCATAAGTGGGAACCGGTCACACTCGGAGTCCAACTCAGTGGATCATGATGACTGAAAGGCATTGTAGGAGACCACACATTTATCGAAACATCCTATAACGCCTTGAATGTCCGCTCGAATGCCAGGTTGAGCTACCGGTTAGAGCAGCGGTTCTCAGACTTCTTTGGATCCCCACCCACCGGAATCCAGAACGAGGTTTTTTCAAAATAATTACGACGGGAAGAAAACTGATCGACCTTTTCTGCAGGGCATGTTTGCGGATGAGGATACTGTAATTTTTTTTACTGGGAAAATGTACGCGACCCACCTTGATGCCCCTCGCGAACCACAGTTTGGGAACCGCTGGGTTAGAGCTACGTCAATCCGAGAAATATTTCTTAAAAAGGAGCAGAAATCGAGTGACTGGCATATTTACTCACCCAAGTTGGGCTCTTATAGTTACTAAAATTGCCACTAAATGGTGTCTGGGTTCATGTAAACACTCCAATTCCAGGTGTTACAGGTGTTCATTTCGTCGACGAAGGGATATCATTTTCCCCGATGATGACAGGACAAAGCGAAAATTGTCGCTCGTGAAGAAATGACGAAAATCCATTAAAGACTGGGAGACGGACGAAAGTTGACAAATGACGATAATGGTAATGGATAGTGTTTTTTACTGATGAAGAAGACGCGGCTAAATTCAATTTCGACTCACAAGGCCTCTTTTCTTCCACCTTTATTATACAGGTTAGATGTTTTTCTTTGCAGTATTAGAATTCGCCAAATTTAAAGTGAGTTTAACAAGCGCATATTTAAATATTTAAGCATCTGAATATACAGTATATTCACTTAAACACGTGAATCTGTCAATGGAGACACTTCAGTAAGAAACAAATTTAGTTTTGAACCAAGGATTCCAAACCTGCAATTTAAAAATATTGTCGGAATTGTTTCAACGGGTGCCGTTTAAAGGGTTAAGGAGATGCAGGAGTGAGAGGGAAGTTATGATCCCCAAAAACGCTCTACTACAATCTGTCACGTCATCTGTTTCTTCTTCCCCGCCCCCACACTTTTTTTCGTCGTTACTCATAGACTAAAGCTATAGCTAAAGTGTTAAATAAAAATAACGAACTTTTCATCTCCTTTCAGATTTACGCGGTAAATGGTACGAGCGGACTCGATAAGAGTCAAAGAGTCCAGGGAGTTTAAAACCAGTTTTAAACGTATAAAAAAAAGTATAAGATAGTGGTGATAATGCGAAGGGAGGCGATTATTTGTGATAAAAGGTTTGTTTTATGACGCAAACTCACTGAAAACGATCTCAGGGAGCATCTCGCCCTTAGGTATCTGATCGCCTCTTCTTTATCGCAATCGAGAGATATTTCCTGTGCTCCCGTCCCACAAAAATGTGGACCGACTTGCCAGGCGCCGAGGCAAGAGATGATTGCCGATCCCCTTACGAAGAAAAATATGGAAACCTGCTTTGTGCGTCCTTGATCGAGAGAATCGCCCCGAATTGTCCTATCTCCGAATTTCGCAAGTGTTTTTCGACCATGGCATGATTATGTGAAGTATTCATTTTCCACTTCGATTCCTCTTTGCCTTCTTGCTATGATTCCAATCATTTGTTCCCTTCCTTCCGACTACAGCCGCTCATGACTCAGCGCGATGACCATCGTCCATTCCTCGCACGAGTTTGCCCCAGAAAAATGCGATTGCCAAGCGGATTTGGATTCGGAGAAAGAGGTAAGCTCGAAACGGATGAGCTCATTAGACATCTAGGACGAGGTGAGCTGTCTGGAATGGACCGGACATGCCGGTCCTTTTCCTTTCTCTTCCGGCGATACAAGCCGAGCTGACTTTTTTTCTGGATGCATTTGGTACCAAAAAAAAAAAAAGAATTCCATGAGGGTTGATTGGAACTGCCGCCTTTCAAAAGCGACGAAGGCGGATGGATCCCTCCCGTTGTGGGTGTGGAGTTCCGAGTAACGAGGGACTGCACGATTACGAGGGAAAATGGGGATGAAGAAATTATCTTCAGGAATCTTCCAAGAAATCTTGAAACAGAATGAATCACGGGGAAACCCTTTGGGAAACCGCATCCGTGCCAATCAACCTTGTCGGACGTCGGAAAGGGTGGAATGGTTCTCGCACGTGGTCAAAGAGAGGCCAAATTAAGGAACGCTCGACCTGGACACATGATATCGAAATGGGCGAAATCACCTCTTGATATCACTAACTATCGTGAATCCTGAATCCTGTGCGCTCTGATAAGTCCCATCCAGGCCGCTTTGGTGTTTCGACCCGTGCGTGTCTCAAATCGGTGTCACGGGGATCTGGAGTGGATACACCTCTACTCATCCCTTTAACATGTCTGCCGCAGTGTCATCCATGTGGCCCATTGATAATATCAGTTGGTCAGCGTAAGTCTTGTTTTAGTCATACACTTTCTCTAATTCTCTCTCTCTAACCTAATCGTGATAATCACTTTCATATTTCATGGTAGGAATGGCAGACAAGATTGAGACCTGAGGAAGGTGTGGGGATGGCAGGCGAGGAACTTAGTCTGAGGTTGGGGCTTACTTTTTGTTTCATCGCCACATCTTCGGCCCTACCTATTTCAAACTCTGGACTCATCGGTGGTTCTGCGGTAATTTCTTTTCCTTCTTTCTGTTGCCCTTTTTTTTCATCTAGTGAATGTTGGACGTGGTCTTTCCAATAATGGTTCTTAATCAATTACCAGTTATAGCTCAGTCGGACGAAGTAATCCTTCAGTTATCCTCTAGCTACTCTGATAGCTGCTTCTCATTATTTCGGGACGTTTCTTATCAATATAAGCCCATTTTCCCTAATTTCTCAGAGAAATTGAGTTTCTGCCTATCTCTATAAGGGTGAAAAAGACATGAGGAAAGTAACCTGTTTTAGTCACTTCTCTCACAAGTCAGTAACTTTCTCTCCCACAAGTAAGTGACTTTGTTGATGGCCAATCAACAGTTGAACTCAATCAATGGTAATGCTGTTGGATTGCAAATGTACACCATCTTGTTTGATACTAATCCCCCCCTGCCCCTGACACTAATCCCCCCAGATAGTTTTTAAAATGTTCAAAAGTCCATTCCAAAAAGGTCCATTCCAAGTGAACCATGTTGCTCAGTTATCAGCGCTTAGAATGAGCAGTATTCAGTGGTTGTTCTGAACCCCACCTTTACCATGCTTTTAATTTTATTTTAGTTAGGGTTGCACATTGTGATGGGGTTTGTTCAGTTGGAGAATATGCAACATTCCCAAAGAGCTGAGTGATCAAAGGATAAGGCTAGTAGTGGAGGGTATGAGCAATGTGAAGTGACCCCTAAGAATCCAATGGAGAAGTGAAATTGTGCCCCATGAGGTTGTACTTTCCCTGCATGTGAAATCTTTTTTTAACAGGTCAGAATGTGTTTTTTGTATTTCTGCAAAGACCTCAAAGTGACAAATTCTAGCCAAGAACTGCTCACTGCTAGCTTGTGAAGATAATTAAGTATGGTCAAATAAGAAGTGTCAATGTTTTCAGATAAATCTCCTGGAAAAGTTCAAGAAAAGTGATGTCCAGGGAAAAAAAAAAAAATTTTAAAGCACTAAATGGCTAAAATGCTAAACCATAGTAAAAAAAAAATTGAGAAAATGCTCTGATCCCTAAGAGTCCTTACATCACAAGCATTATGATCTTGAGTGCAGTTACCCTTGTTTGTGTTGTGATGGTGTAGGTGTTTGAATAGGAAAAAAGGGGGGGACTTGTCCAGTGGCGTAGCCAGGTTTTCGTCAATGGGGGGGCTAAGCGGAAAGTTGGGGGGGCTAACTTCGCCTTGTCAGGTTGGGGTGGATGCATTTCGACCAGAGTTGGGGGGGCTTGAACCAAACTTGGGGGGCTTCAGCCCCCCCCCGGCCCCCCCCTCGCTACGCCACTGGACTTGTCCAACCCATGATCTGTGGAAGTAAGATTAATTCCTAAATTGCTTCAGGCCTACCAATAGGCTTTCTTCTTGACTGGCACTAGGAAATGCCCCAATTGTGCTTGTCTGGATAAATTTTTCATCTAAAGTGTACCAGGGTAGTCCATGGGCAACTCCTGATCTAATAATCCAAAAATATTTTAGGAATTTGATGTTGTCTTGGAGAGTTGACTGTAATCCCAGTGATTTCAAATACATTGGCAACTGGAGCTTTTTTCATGCATGAAAGTTGGCTAGAGTGTTCCAATGATACACTTGCAATGGCACTTTGCGAGAGAGTTTGTTTGATTGAAGTGGTCATTACAGCCAATTTGACTGGCCTAGGAATTCAAGAGTTGACCTAATGAAAGTGGTTTCTTCTTTTGCAGCAAAGGTATTTGGTGCAGTTTGGCTACTTGCCTGAGTCTGATGTGGAGGTGGGAAATCTCCGTACTGAGGATGAGCTTGTAAATGCCCTCAAACACCTTCAGGTAGGCCAATGTGATGCCCTGCAAATGTTATCTAATTTTTTTCCCCCAACATATTAAATGCATTGAAAGCTGTTCTGTTTGTGTTTTCCTCATTGTTGTATTGTGCGTGAGCTGAAGCTGTTTCACATATTTTTAATAATTTTTTACCCCTTTCCTACGGATGATGTATATATACGTGATTTATTATCTCAATTTTCAAAGTTGTAGAGCTATGATGAAAATCTCTCTACCTGTTTTTTCATTCTTCATACCTGTTTCTCTATACCTTCTTACGGATGACGTATATTTACGTAGTGGGACTTAGCGCCTGGCTGAGGCTGGAATAATACTGTTGGGATGCTGGACTGGCTCAGTCAATCCCATGGTCAAGGGGCTAAGCACAGACCTTATAGTAGGTTTCCTATTGGTAACAGGTTCATGCTCAGTGCCTGTGGTTGAACAAAGAATTAGTTATTGCTAGTGTTTATATATTTGGTGTAAATATTGATTCATGGAATACAGTTGGAATGCTACCCATTCAAATCATTGCTTATCACATTACTTGAACTTGAAATTCTCATTGAGTTTTGAATGTTCTTGCAAAAAAATATTTCAGGTAAAAGGTAACTTTCAGTCTAGGAACTCCATATTTCCTCATTTCAAAGCTGTGTCCTATGTAAAATACTGGAATGAGTTTAAGCGAAACAGAGAAACAGCTTGAGTGCTAGTTTTGCTTATATGAGTATGCAAAACAAACTGATTTACAATTTATCATTTGAAGAAATTGCCCAAGTTGGTAGTCTCACTTTCTCTGCTCTAAAATGCTTTGCAAAAATGCAAAAGTAATTTCAGATCAATGTACAAAACAAGAGGAAATTTTCACTGTGTGTATGCATATCTGTTGAATGTTTCCTGCAAGATTCATGCAGGAAAAGGGCTAATGCATTGTATCTTGAAAAGTAGCAGTCAGAGATACCTGAAATATCAAAATGCATCCAATTCCAAGATGGGTAGCCATTAGAATCTTCCCCAGTGGTTATGCTTTCATTTGGATTGGCCTTCTACTAATGCTGGTTTAAGCTCTTTTTTGATCCATTCCTTATTAAACAATGCTATCCTATTTGTTGAGCTTGACACACTTCGGGCCTGTATGGCATGTAATTGGAAAGAGAACAATGAAGTAGGTCTATCCTCCATTTCTGGTCCTGAAGATGGTGGCACTCAGATATTTGCCAAGTCATGTTACAAGCAGGTCAGTGAGTCCTAAAGGGACGAAGAGAAGGAAATAAAAGTACGTGGTCTGATCAGAAAGTTCCAGTTCTTTCATGGTAAAAAATAAACCTCTTTAGGTAGGGGGCTAGGACTTGTGTAGGTGGGAGTGTGGGGGTAACTGCATACATGGTGAAACCTCCTTTACGCTAGGATTAATCAGTCGCAAATCATGAGTGTTTAAATCCTGTCATCTCTGTGCTCTCCGTCGAATTTTTGCAGTTGGTGTCCTTGTAGTTGTGCAGGGACTATTCCATGTCTGCTGGAATGATCGTTTCTCTCATGCTTTGATATCGGCATAATTGCTATTGTGTGCATGTAGAGGTGATCAATTGCATCAGTCCATGAGGATGCTGTGGCTCAGTCCAATTAGTTTCATGTTGATGATGGAGTTATGCCATTCCATCAGTGTTGTGCCAAGCTTTCCTTAGATGAAGTAGCAGGGGTATGATCTCTCCTGGCTCTATAACGGTGATGTAGTACTCACATACTTCATCATCATAGCATTTTGCAATGATACTTAGTCTCTTTTTGATAGTGTCTGAAGTGTGATGATGATCATGTAATTTTGGTCATGAAATACATGTGGTCATCACTATTTTTAATATATGGGGCAGTATACATTTTTCACTTCCATGACCATCATTGACTGCATTCAGATTGCAAAATGAGAGCTGCATGTGATGCAGGAGTTGATATCTGTCGTCCTTGCTGGTCAGGATGCAGGCACTAAGACATGAGATATTTTCATTGTAACTGTGAACTGTGAGGTTCTTTTGCCTTCTCTGGCTTTATTAGTATGAAATAAAAATAGAGATATCTGATGCTCAGACTATATATGGGGATAACAAGGACAAGAGCTTGTGCTATTACTCTGTAGCTTTACTAACAGGGAAAGAGAAATCATACTAATAATGAGAATGAAAGCATTATTCAGTTGTTCAGTGTGAGTAAATGATCTTTCTTTGAACATATCAGTGAGTTACTTGCAGTGTGCTATTTCTTTTGATTGAATCGACTGATCTATACGTTTCTGTCTCAGAAGTGCCATATCTTTTGTGGTCTTGATGTCTGAAGACTTAGTTATTCTGGCATTACACTGTAGATTTGTAGAGTGCAGCAATGCTAAATAATTATGACAAAACTTACAACTGTGCTGAATGTAATCCCTTTTCCAGATGAAAAATATCTACATTACAGTGGGTGATATGACCTTTTGAAATAACCAAGTGACTTTGTTGATACCATGTACATGGCAGCATGATGAACTGAGAAATATTTACTCTGTAGTAAGAAATGCCAATTTACTGATTGCTAAGTTCACATTTTCCTGTGAAGTGGCAGTGATGAGTAACCAGTAGCAGTGGAATAAAAGAAACTCATTACTTATATTTGTACCTAGCAAGTTAGGCTAGTTGTCATGCCTTCGGTGCTCCATTCCCAGGATAGTGATTCATCTATTTTTTAAAATAATAATTTATTTTCAAAGTGGCAAAAATGTATTCAAAGTATGTGCCCGTCGGAATGTGTACCAAGAGGGAACAAACCTATATTTTCACCGGAATAATTACTCCCATTGTTTCTTGTGTGCCTAACTTCAAATCTTTTCATAATCTGCCCTGAGAGGTCATATTTGAAAAGTAGGACATGTACTCAGCAATCGAACAGGTACTCCTTCTCAAAGTTTTTCTTTTCTTTAGTTCTCTCCTTCATTGAATCAGAAAAGTTTCTGGAAAATGCACCTTTTTCTAAAAAATATGCCCTCAAGGGTTTTACCTAAAATTTAACATTTTTAATTAAATCAATACTCGGAGGACTACGTGCATACCAAGTTTCAGCCTTATCCGTTTGCTCTTTTTGCTGGTGCAAAAATATCTTTGGAAAAGCTGACAGCCAAAGCTGTGCCCTGGGGGTATGCACCACAAAACTTGTATTTTTTCTGAACTCACCTATGCTATGTCAAGTTTCACATTTCTATCTCTGTACAATTCAGTGGATAAAAAAAAGTTTTTTGAAAACATCACCCCCCAAAATTATGCCCCAGGGCATGTATCCAAAACTTGACATTTTTCCCGAACTCAAGAGTCCATGTCACGTTTCAACTTTCCATGTTTATCCATTAGAATGAAGCAAAAAAAAATATTTGAAGATATCTCCCCCTGAAATTTGTTCCCCTGGGGGGCATTTACCTCCAAAGTCTGAATTTTTTATGAATTCAGGTTCCCAATAGGTACTCATGTATCAAGTTTCACCTATCTCTGGCCAATTCGGTATGACTAAAAAAAATTATTTGAAAACGTCACCCAACAAAAGTATGCCTCCAAGGCATGCATCTGAAACTTGATATTTTTCCTGAACTTTGTGTCTCAGTAGGCATGTCCATGTCAAGTTTCAGCTTTCTGTGTCTCTCTGTTTGACTGAAGCAAATATATATAATTGAAAACATATCCCCCCCCATAATGGGTGCCCCCAGGGCATGTACCTCCAAAGTCAGATTTTTTCTGAATTCTGCATCCCAAAAGGAACATATGTACCAAGTTTCAGATTTCTAACTTCCTTGGAACATGGTTAGAATTAGCATCAGTCAGTCACAATAGTCTATATACTGTATATTAGATTTTGGAGTAATTGCCTACCCTGAGGATGTGGTAATGGTAACTCAAGTAGTTCTAGAAAATATAATGGAAACTCTTGAAAAGACTCATCTTTCTGAGAATATAAGAATACAGCAGGAGAATTGAGGAAGTTCATCTTCACTCTTACCAAATCAGACAACATTGAAAATAATCTAAGCTTTCAGGTAGCAATGACCTAAAAATAACAGATCGCCTTGCTTCTTCATGTCTCTTGCATGGGGAGGAAAAACAGTGGTATTTTCTTTCACAGAAAGGAATGAGCCTATGATATTTATTTTATTGTGAATTTGTTTTGACCAAGCACCAAAGAATCAAGAAAACACTTTCAATTTCTCTTGTGCACATGACAACTTGATAATTGCAAGTACAATAGTTGTACATTTTTTCTGTCCTCCAATAGCTCCATATACACTGAATAAGCTTGGTGCTACAGTAAAATCAATTAGCTTTCTTGACAGTGCATACAGGTCTCAGATTGGGCCATCAGTCAAGCACAATCTATGATAAAAAGCAGGGTAAGCAGAGCCTGAGTGTTTTAGAGATGTCATTGCATCTTTCTAAGTTTGGAGTTTCAGGGAATGAATTAGAACTTTTTTGTATAAAAAAAAGTTATTAGGGAAAAAGCACTGGAGTCTGGAGTTGGGTGTCAGGCTATTGTTTCTGTTGGTTCTATACATCTGGTTCTTGTTCTTTGGTTATTGAAGACTTTTTCAGATATAATTTTTTTTTAAGTACATAGAACCCCACTGACCAATGCTGCTGTGAGACATCTGTACATTGTGAGGAGTGCTGTTTTCATAATCCAAGGAAATAGAATCTTTTATGATGATTATGAGAAGCAGATGTTACTCAAGTACAATGAAAAAGATGGAATGGAGTAAAATGCTCAAAAGAAATTGTCATGTGCATGTCAATAAAGGGTATTCAACGTTTTTAAACTAATTTATTAATAAAGCAGGAGGAGCAGTGGTGTATATTGGTTGAAGAGTCAGGAGGGGCAGGACAGCATTATGGGGCGCCAAACCCCACCTGGGGAGAAAATTATTACCTCCAAGGGGGCGCCAAGTTCTGTCTCAGAGGTGCCAGGGAGGACAGCCCCCTCCCCCGTAAAATACAACACTGAGAAGGAGAAGTAATGTAGTTACTACATATTACTCTTGTTAGGAAATATATACTACTTGAAATGAAATACTGCTTGTGTAAATTTTGTAGTTGTATCCGATAACACCAGATAAGTATTTCTCCCACACTATTGCGGTTACACATCTGTAGCCTGTCTGTTTATAGCTAACCTTGAATTCCAAAGGAGTTGATTCCACTGTCGACGAAGAATCGGGTCAATTTCTGTCAAACTCGTTTCATTTTCTGCAGGAGAAACGTAGTCTCAGTGAATAATTGCATTGGAAATTGAAACTTCCGGCCTTTTCCACCTATTGTACATTTATTGGAGTGCAACTGCCCCAAGTCCTTCAAAATTCAAAAAGCATAATGCATCTAAGTTACGGACAGCAGCACACAAAATCAATTGTAATGATTTCTAGAGTCAGACAGGATGCCACCTGAGTGTCGAGTGACGTTTCCAAGAGCACCCTGAAAGCAGATTTTTTTTTCCTTCTTCATAGGAGTTTACACGACACCAGTGGGGGGAGTGGCATGAGATAAACAGGGAGAGGGACTTGATGGCTTTCCCAGAGGGCTGGCTGATGTCTCCTCTCAAGTGAGAGCGAGCGTTGAACCCCCATGTCACTCTCGCTATGATGGATCTCGCAAAGTAGGAGGAAAAAACTATGTGACTCTTTTCTACTCACCTAATGTGGAGGCATTGATTTTCGGGGAATGGTGAGGATGCTGGATGGCGTGCAGTAGGTATTATAGGCGTGTCTATGCAGTCTGCCATTTCTACGTACATTGGTTTAATCATATGGAATTTTCTTTTCCGAAAGTGCTTTCCCGTCGTTGACGCAAAAGTGCCTTTCTGGTATAACTTCAAGGGCGCATCTGGAATCAGTTGATACCCTAGACCCTTTTCCGAAGTAAGGGTCAAAGTTATATTTCTCACATCTACTTATTTCACTCGAGGCCAGCATCTTACTTTGTACTTTGTACTGGTTAGGTGTGCGCGACGCACATCTAACCTCAAGTAACCTTTCCAATGTCCCTGTTATCCCAAATCCATGGAAAACTGAATTTGGCCACTCCAGGAGGGCTGCCACCTTAGATCATTACATAGTATTTGTAGAGGAGGGAGTGCCTAATGCTCAGTCTCCCCTTCCGCACGCGTTCGGTAGAGCGCGATTGAAGGGAATGCGGTTGTCGTTGAATTCAGATAGACGAAGCCTCATGATTCGGGGAAGCTAACCACATCAATATGTTAAAATTTCTGGTTTCAAAGGTTAATCGCTGTGATACATCTCCCTCTCCGGTCTACATGAAAATAAATGGGAAGAATTGCATTTCCTTCTTCTTTTCTTTGAAATAACCCCTCCTTCGTTGGAAGCTATTCTTTGGTTAACTAACGGTTAATAGGTTAATGTCAATAGGTTGCCACTCAATGAACTAACTAGAAATTGAAAACCTTAGTGTAAATATTTCTGGTACATATGGAAGTAGAGAACAATATACGGGGGGCGGGGGGAGAGAGGTTTCTCTTTGCAATACAGATACATCTACGCCACCGACACACGAGTTCATTAAGCCCTCTAGGGTCAAGAGAGGGCGAACTGACCTAGCCTACCTGGCATGCTCACCCTACCACCAAGGCGAAGCTGTGGTCCGTTAACAGGAACCAGTAGGCATTACTCTGCTATTCCGAAGAATCTTTCGTGAGTCCTACAAATATTTCAAATGACGTCCATCTGGCATGCCAGGTAGCATGAAACATCGAATGATTTCATGTCTGAATGGGCTGAGCCGGCTCACTTGTCTAGCAGATCCAGCAACCCTGATGAGACTCGCACGTGAGACGGAGAATGGGGGGGGGGAGGAGGGCGTACTGCTGCCCTTGGTGGTGTTGTGCCTATGGTGGAAAGGGGATTAGTGAGGGGTGATGTGGGTACAGGGAAGGAGTCATTCTATGCCTGATGTTTCCCAGATGTCTCCCTTCTCTTGCCTAACACGTCTTTCCTTTCTCCTCCCCCCCCCCCCTCCTCCATGCCACAGCCATTCTCTTTCAAACCCAAGTCCCACAGCCTCCCTGTGGGAGGAAGAATTCCTCTGTTCTGCTGGAATGTTTCCTTATCATAGGAAGTGACCGCCTCGGGTTTAAAGTAAAGAAATGTTCTTTATTATTATTATCGAAATCAACTTGTACCTAGTGAACGTCGGGCAAACAGAAAATGAGCTTCCATTTCGAATGAAATGAAATGACTATCCCGGATCCAAATTTTTTCCGCCTCGTCCAGATACCATCTACGAGAGGCATTCCAAAATTTATTGGCCCAAGATTATTCAGTTATAATCCGCTCTTCTGGAGCGTAGTGGAAGTTTGGTAACAGGCAGAGTTTGATCAGACGTTGGTGGCTTGACAATTTTGGGTGGTTTTTGTTGCTTTCAAAGTCTCATAACGAAGTAGCACCGTCAAAAATCCACAAAAATTTTCAGCCACTACCGATATATATATATATATATATATTTTCCTGTTAGCTTTCAATATGTCTGTCACCACCTTTGAAAAAGAAGAGTGGCATATTAAAACTGGAAATGCCTTGGTTCAAGAACTTTTGGAACGCCCCTCATACTTCCGGGTCCACTCTCTCTGCTCCCTTTATTGAGTGGAACGGTCAGCAGAGGACCCGGATACAGAGACATACGGCACGGGGGGGGGGGGCTGTCCAGTGGACTTTGTCAAGCTGTGAGCGTATCCATTCGAATTTCATTCCCATCTGATTCTTCAGTTCTTGGTCTGGCATTCGAGCAGATTGGCGTGAGTGCCCTCGCCTCCAACTTCCGAAGTCATTTGTCTGGGTGCAGGGCATAGACCCGAGCTGACAAGCTGGACAAAGCCCAGTGCTGCAGCGTGCATCCTTTGAATCTATCTATCTTCATTGATGGCCACGAACAAAAGTATAGGCGATATGAAGTGTAAAGGGGAAGGAGGAAAACGCAAGAGAATTCCCGAAAACAGTGCAGTGCATTGGGATGGTTGGCGATTGAGGGGAAGGATCCACCCGCGTCGCTCTTAGCTCTTTAATGGGAGTTTATGAATTTCAGATTTATCTAATTATATCTTATTAGATTTAAAAATTCCCAAATAAAGGTATCAATTATGTATAATTGATAATATTATATATAATATAATTATATATTATATAATTATATATAATATAATTATATATAATTGATCAATTATTTGGGTTGCAATAAATATTTTAAGATTAAAATTAGTTTTCCCGGAAATGCGACCAAGATGCTATTTGGGCAGTGGTGTATTTTACGGGGGGTGGGGGGGGGGGAAGCGAGAGAGCAGGACAGAGCTTGGCGCCCCCTTGGAGGTAATAATTTTCTTCCCTGATATCGCTTGGGTGGGGTTTGGCGCCCCCACTCTGTTGCTCTGCCCCCCTGACCTTTCAGTCAAAATACGCCACTGCATTTGGGCAATCATTTAAGCGTCATTCTTTTCCGATGAGGGAAGGGTCGCAGAAAGAAAGAGAATAACATATACGATGCAGGACATTTTCGGCGCGAGACGTGAAGACATTTCCATTAGAATTTAACGAGTTTGAATGATGTATGTGCAGAGATACGCGGGAATCCCGGCGACGGGTGAGATGGACGCGGCGACTCGGAAGCTGCTGAAGAAGCCCCGCTGCGGCCTCCCCGACCCCATCCCCGTGGAATCGGGGAGACGGAACAAGAGATACACGCTCCAAGGGGCCAAGTGGGACCACACCAACCTCACCTGGCGGTCTGTTCTCTTCCCCGATTCCTTAGTATGGACCGGGGGGAAAGGGCAGGGAGGAATATCATCCCTCCAATTTGCCGTAATTCGATCGGGGGTCTGACGCCTGTATGTGGAGGTCTTGTACTTGAAACCGAGGACGAGCCGTCCCGATGAAATTTCACGCCTGCACGTAGAAACCCCATTCGTTAAGACGGAAAAGATAGAGCGGAAGCTGGCGCGCACGGATGCCGGATCACTTGGCGCATTTTCATACAGAATTATCTATTGTACATTTCTAAGTGAACCATAAAGGGAATTGCATCAAATGATTCAATTGCAAAAAAATGACTGACTTTGTTTATTCTCGGACGAGGTATGCGAGGAGAATTGTAAGAAGTTTGTACTTTTGTAATAAGAAATCTGCATTGGGGTCCCTTTCGTTCCTCCTAATCTATTTGGTTTGTGGGAAAGTTCTGTCGTTTTTGCTTATGTACAATTGGACTCATCTCCCAAACACGAATACGGCTAGTGTTGACATCCTTTTATACTCTAATCCACAAAGATAGAAACAAAAACAATCGATGGTTCATCACTAGCTGTATTCCTATTTGGGAGATAAGTACAATTGTACATAAGCAAAAACGACAGTACTTTCCCACAAACCCAATAAATTCACCCTGAATGCCAGTTTTCGCCATGGGTCATGGTATACCACACAAAGGTGTTCAAGACACGCCAAGCAAAAATGATTTCAGTTCAGCAACATTTTCAAAAATTGCACAGGTAATGAATCGAGCATATACCAGCTACATTGCACTGGATTCATTCAAGGCCCCCAATCACATTGCATTTGAGGTAGTTTGGTCCAGGATTTTGAAATGCTAATTAGCGTTACAACTGACCTCGTGGGCTGATAATCAAAGCTTCCTTGTTACAGCGCGGCACTTGATTTTATGCTAGTCAATTGACTCCATTCGTGGAATCTCGTGTTGGAATCTCGAACAGGTTTCTACAGACCTGGAATATCTGAAATAGCTGGGGAAATAGGAGATGGGTGAGAAAGTCAGCAAAAATAGCTGAAAAAGCGAGGAAACTTGCTTCGCAATGTTTGTGAACCCTATGGAATTATGGTAGTCTGAGGCGGGAGATTGAATAAATAATGAGAAAAAAGTTGGAATCCAATCTTCCCCTTTGTTGAGGGCAGCGTTTCTCCAGCGGTGGGGCGCGAACAGGTCGCAGGGGAGTCGGGAAAAGTCCCCCCCCCCCCCCCCAACAAAAAAAGTCGAAGCTGTTCGAACTAGGGAAATTTTTCCTGGAGTGTTTTTCACAATTACGGGCAGAAAAAGAAACATTTATTGGAGAATTTTTTGCAGGTTTAGAAGTTAATGCGAATAGGCTGATGCCTTTTTCTACGTTTTCCAGAAAACGAATCATTTTGGCACATGTTCATGCATTGATAAATCGCGAAAGTATTTTTAACGACCAGAAATGACGATCAAAAGAATCCTAAATCCGTCTTTATCACACTTGTGTCGTAAGTTGGACGACTGCGTGAATTTTTTCATGCTTTTTCAGATTGAAAGTGAATCTACTCAGTTACCCAGTAATCAAATTACAGCAGGAAATAAACTAGCTATATATTCGAAACCTTACATGACTTGCTACTAAAACTACATGACTTACATTTTTCATGATTTCATTGGATATTAATTTATTTCTCAGCTTTTTATTGTTTGAGGTATACTTATTTGAAGGTCCTCTATGCATTGTTGAGCCTGCATTGTTTGTGCCCCTGCCTACGCTTTTCCACGGCTGGACTGAGGGCCATTGGATTAAGTTTCTTTTGTTTGATGAACTTGGGTTAGTCAGAAGGACTTGCATCCGGACCGCCGCCAGGGGCGTTGTTGAGCAGCTGGGGTTGCGTTTCTGGGATGCTCGCTGTGATTTTTGTTGTGGAAATGTAATCGGTAGTACTCTTCCTTAGCGCATTGGCGGTGGACATGTGTCTCCGACGTTCCTGTAAATATTTTGTTTTCTGTAAACTTTCGGGTATTGTATACTGAATGCATAATATATATTAGGCTTCATTTCATTCCGATAGCTTCTCTTATGACCCTGTAGAGAGAAACCCGCCCCCCCCCCCCCAGTAATGTGCATTATTAGAGAAGGGGGCTAAAAAAAATTTCCGAGACTTTTCTTTACAGAAGCTGTAACTCTGCCTCGATGATATTCTAAATTTCACTGTAGCAAGGCACATTAAATGAAGTTCGCAACTCATCATTTTACAATTCTCATTCACTTTCAGGAATTAAAAAATGAGTGGCTATTCCAATGGATGTTAATGGGAACGATCTTGCCCCCCCCCCCCCTCGGAAACTATTAGGTTTGGGAAAAAGTATCCGGAACTTTTAGTGGGTTAAGTTTGAGGGGTTCCTATGCTTGTTCTGTCGCTATGCTATATATGAAAGGAAAGAGGCGGAAAAACTCAGTAAAATTTTGCATATCTGCCGTGTATAGCTTGCAGGTAAAAGTTTTCCCCGCTCGATTGAAAAATGCGGCTCGACGACTACATACGTCATTGCTTACTTCTCCAGTTCGATAAGGGGGACAACGCGAACGATGCAGTCCGTCGCATAAAGAAGGTATACCCCGATGCCTGTTTAAGCAAATCCACGGCATACGAATGGTTTGAGAATTTTTCACGTGGAGATCGAACTCTTCAAGATGAGCCCCGTTTTGAACGCCCATTTGCAGGCAGACGTGGTTTGGTGCAGATCATCTTCGATCATGGACTTTAGCACATCGTCATCGATGACGGATGGGCGTCAAGAACGAAGTTCATCTTGAAGAGTTCGATCTCCACGTGAAAAATTCTCAAACCATTCGTAACTAATACAAACCCATATGTGCTTTACTTGAGACCATTGTCCTCATTGGGCTCAATGATGACATCGTGCCTTCGGCCGAAAATGTTACGTCTGCTCAATGTTTCCCGCTGAAATGGCAAGGTTTCTATCTTTCGAATTAAGTAATTATGCAAAAAAAAGTTAATGAAAGATATTTTCTTGAAAAAAGTGAAAAACTGATGGCATATCAACACATTCTCTACCAAAGACGTCGATTGACGTCTTCACGGAGCGTGAGTTGCCAGTGCCAATAACATCGATAGACGTCTTCACTTCAACTTAATTGTCAGTAACTCGAATAGATTGTGCTTAAACGCAGTATTTGCTGTGCAGTAACTTGAAAAAGACTCCGAGCAGAAAAATGGCAGGCACAGGGAGAAAGTTATCACCTAAAACCGACTGGCAATGAACGTGCTAAAGAATCATGTATTACAGTGAACATTTTTGTAGTCATTGGTTGAGGGCAGTGGCGTAGCCAGGGTTTCGCCAATGGAGGGGGGAATGGTGAATGCATTTAGGTCAAAGTTGGGGGGGGGGGGGGGGGNGGGGGGGGGTGGGGGGGGGGGGGGGGGGGCTGAAGCCCCCCCCCCCTTGCTACGCCACTGGTTGAAGGTCATAGTTTCTGGAAAGAAAATCTCAGAACTTCTCTGCTTCCCCTCATATATAGAATGGCCAATATTATTTTGACAGAAGGACCAGCCTTTCTGCCTGCAATAACATCCCAAATAAATGAGCGTTTCTCCGTATTTATTAAGTGAATATTGCCCTTTTTCCGTTCAATTATCTCAATTCTGTGTCTCCGTGACGTTCAATATCGTTGGCGTTCTTACTTAGTCTCCGATTCTATTCGGTGTAAAACTGGTAAGTTGCAGACCTTTTTAAGTTTTACATATCGTATTTCCACTTTCACTGTTGCGTGGAGACCTGGATTCTCACCCCAAGTTTTCTAGATCTTGTACTTCACTTTTTTCCCTCTTCATCGGCATGAAAATTGAGGGTTGCGACTTGTTGCTTCCTCTAAATGTAAATGGCCCGTAAACTCAAAAAGAATCCCTTGAAGAATCCGTGAGAATCCCTGAAAGAGCGAAAATGATGCGCACCTGTAAAGTGAAAGGCCCAAATGCACTAACCTCATTTAGGAGACATGAATGAGCCTATCAGCTAAAGAGTTATTTTTCTCCCATAGGAATCCATATACTCTTTACTACAAGGACCGTTAACTAAAGGAGGTTTCAGCATTCGGGCCTATATCTCACCCATCATCCTTCCTGTCTGTCGCCATGTCGATTCGTACGGGATTGATAGCGGTTCATCGCGAACCTCTACACTCATAAAATGTGTTTTGAGAAAATAAAAACTTTTTACCGCGTTCGAACTGTTTCGTATGGCACGATTTTTATTACATAGATTCCTTTTTTTCCGAAGCAAAAATTTATTTTGCGCCGTAGATGTAGTGGCCATTTGGCTGTCACCGTCGCTAAATTCTTGATGTCAAGATTTATTCTGGCTGCGTGAAGTTTTTTTGTAACGATGTTGTCCAAAAACCTTGGAGGAGGATGAGGATGAAATGAATAGGGGATGGGATTTGGCAACCGTGGGAGGGGGTCGGAGCCCCGCCCCCTTGCTTTATTGAAACCGACCTGCCTCGTTCACGCCCGACTCAGTCGAGTCGAATCAGGCGGCTGTCTTCGTGTGACTGTCTGTGCTATCATTCCTCCCATCCATTTCATGCTCATCTTCCGTCGAGGAGAGACGCGTTACCAAGCGGAAAGCCCCAGTGGTGCCATGTCTGACTCACTCAAACTGGCTGCGATGTTTTCATTCCCAACCGTCACAACCTCCTTGAGTGAGTGAGACTGCGCCTCTCGCCCAAAGACTGACATTCATTCCGTCATTCTGACGATCCTATTCGCTTGAAGGGACAGACAGGTTCGTGCCCGTGTGGGTGGGTGCTCTCGTTATCGAATAGACGTTTTCTAAATAAAAATTCCCAATAGAAATAACCTCTGCATTTTTTATTATTCTACATACTGAAATTGATCCAAACCTTCCCACTTATTCGCGCTACTGTTTGCTCTTTGTGGAAGAGTCAATGGTTGCGGAGATTCCTTTTTCTCC